AGGCCTATTTTAAAATGAGACTACATGTTCTCTGAATGACCAGAACTTCTGTATCCCCATTCTACTAAAACCTAATTAGTTTTGACTTAGGTACAATTATTTAATCACACACCTATACACTGAATTGAGTGCATGGAATAAGACTGTTGGGAAGATCTCCATGGAATTAAATGAAATGTAATTTTGGCAAAGTCAAATAACCTTTGTACAGGTAAACCTATCAATTTCTTACTCTCCATTTCTTGGAGTATAATCTGTATCTTATATACTTGGATTTGGTACAGATTCCATAAATTTAGGCTAATTTATGTATATGTCTGCAGGACACAAAACATTTTCTTAACAAATGTTTGTGCCACAGGAATACTAGTATAAGAAAATATTAATGTGCTTTGATCTTATAGCATTTACTCATTTATGACCTTTTCCACATTTTGATAGGTATACCATTTTCTTCACTGGTCATGTGTGCAAGTATATTAAGGAAGAGAATTAGGATTATAACTAACAAGAATACAAAAACATAGGTGTCAATAATAACTATAAGTAAATAAAATTGGATTTTTTTACCTTATCTGTCTTTAGCAGGCAAACATCTTTAAAAACAAGCATTGTCAAGACAAAAAAAAAGGTTAAAAAACTTTTTTTTATTGAACCTGGGCTGTAATTCAGCACCAGAGCATGCGCTTAGCAAGTGCAAGGTCCTGGGTTCAAATCCCAGCACAAAAGTGTACTTTTTAATCATTAATATTACTTTTGATTTATAATAATTTATGTGATACAATGTGAAGCTTTGGTAACGTGTACCATATGAAGTGATTAAAACAAGATAATTCACATATCCACCACCCCAATTATCCTTTTTTTTTGTGGTGAGACATTTGAAATTTAGTTCCTCATTTTTTTTTTTTTTGCTGGTGCTGGTGGCTGAGCGCAGGGCTGCATGCTTGCTCGGCAGGCATGCTACCACTTGAGCCACTTTACCAGCTCAGATATTTGAAATTTAAAACCTTTTAAGTTACTTTTCACATATAAAAATCATGCTTGTAAGTTAGGTAATATATTTGGTATCTTCCACAGAAGATAGAGGAGATAGTTTTTTCTTTGTTTAAATTGGAGTTTAGTGTCTCCAGCAAGGGGGGTATGATGAAAACAAAGTTCCTTGTACTTGAGACAAATGTGAAGAAAGAGCGGAGAGATGATGATAGCTAAGAAAACATGTTTTATGGCCGTCTTTCTTTCCCTGGACTAATTTCAAAGAGTACAAATCCTATTAGAGAATTAAGAAAAAATGCTTCTGTGACCAAATGTGTAGTCCCTCTCCCCCGCACCCAAACACCAAGCATGCAACAAATTCTGTAGCTGACATCAGATGTGTGTCCTCTAATTAAATTCAATTCTGACAGTATCTACCTGGAGAACACATCAAATTTCAGAGGTGGAGGGCTCAGTTTCCAATTCTGTGTTTCCCTCTTCAGGTATCAATTTCAAGCCCCAGGTGTTTAACTTGTGCTTCTGATCAATTGGCCATAAACTGGAGTTCATGAGACCCCTCTCAAGTTCCGTTAATTTTCTAGAGTGGCTCACAGAACTCAGGGAAACATTTACATTTACTAGCTTACTATAAAGGTTATTACAATGGGTACTGATAGAAACCAGATGAAGAGACAGGGCAAGATATGGAGAAAGGAATGTGGAGCTTCTATGTGCCTTCTCTGAGCAAGTTATGTTCCAGAAAACTCCATGTTTTCAACACTCCAGAAGCTCCTCAAACCAGGCCTTTTTGGTTTTTATACAAGCTTTACTGTTAAGTATGATTGGTTAAATCACTAACCATTTGTGATCTGCCAGTTTTCACTTCCTAGTTGCTAGAGTGTGGGGCTAAAAAGTCCCAACCTTTTAATCACACCTTGTTCTTTCCTAGGACTAGGGGCCATCTTGAAGTTACTTCAGGGCTGAAAGCCACCTATCAACTCATTAATATACAAGTAGACAATTATGCCTTTAGAGGATCCCAAAAATTTAAGGAGCTGTATGCCAGGAAATGAGGACAAAGACAAAATATCCATTTCATAATATTGTACCTGCATTTGGGACCCCATAAAGAAAATCTCTTTACATGTTGCCTGCACATGAAAATGGAGAACCAATCATACATGTTTTAAGTTCATAGATGGCATAGTTAAGCATAGTGATGACCACAATTTAGTGCTCAAGAGTTTCCTTTAGCTGCCATCTGGTGTGGAAGGTATTTATATTTCTTTGTATGCTTTGAAGGAAAACAGAGAAATTAGTGATGGTATTGTCTATATAATCATCATAATGCAGTCTGAGGGGTGCATGGTCGTGGAGATTACAGAAAACCCAAGAAGCAACATGTTCTTTCCAATAAGAGTAAAGTGTCCAAATGTGTGAGGACTTGCACATATTGAAGGACTGTGTAAGATAACAACTCCTTTTCTGACTTTTGTTTGCTTTAATTAGCCCTTATAGATTACCTCTACTAAGGCATGGGAGTTAGGTATTATCCCTAGTTTTCCTTATTCCAATTGTGTTTCACTAAACAGTACAGTTATGTGTTACTACCCTGGCTTCTGCAGCTCTATATTTCCATTGTTTAAATGTCAGATTTGCCATAGTGGCCAAATATGATTTTCAAATGCAGCTGTGCAGTGGTAGCCTTGGGTAATATATGTATATCTCCTAGAAGTGAATAAGCACTTAAACTGATACAAGCCCACCTGGACCATCAAGAAGATGGTATTCAGTATCTACTTGTTTGACCAGGCATGACTACATACAATAGTTGTATTGGTACCACATGGCTGCTATTGGAGCATTGGTGAGCTGGTCTTTGATACATGTTTTGATCTGTCCCTTACTGACTGGATTGTGCCCCAATTTAACTTGAAAGATCAAGCTGTGAGCAGGATAAAGATTTCGATAACTCTACATCTACATTGGTTTGAATAAAAAAAAGTAATTTAATAGATCTAATTTTTTTAAGCTTTCACCTTTTTGATTATTTTGGGTGTTTGCTATAGTAATGAAAAGCTGACTAACATATATGGAATATGCATGTGTATGTATATACATATTGTATAAGCTCAAATACACAGAAATAAAAATTTCAACGATGGATAATGTGACTGGGGGCTGGGAGTGGGAATGAGAAAATGTAGGTCAAAGGATAAAAAGTGGCTGCTGCAGAGGATGAACAAGCCTAGAGTTCTGATATACAGCATGAGGAATAGTCAATACAATTATCTTACATCAGGGATTTTTGTTAAATAAGTACAAACAGACAGTAAAATGGTTACTAGAGTGAAGTAGGCTAACAGATCTATCAACTGACATAGCTACTTTTTGGTTGTGGCAAAAGTAACTAATAGATCTAATTTGACCATATGTATGTTTTCCAGGTTTTCTATTGTCTCTGCCTTCACCTGTAGAACTCGAAAATCTATAGCCTTTATCTAGAAATAGAGACAGTTGTAAGAAACAAAGGAGAAGAATTTGATTTTTTGCTTTTAAATATTTTGGCTACTGAAAAACATAACATCAGAGAGATCATTCAGGTTATGTCTCACATATTCTACAAGTATACATAATCACAGGAAATAAACTTTATTTAAATTCAATTTGTCAAAGTACAAATATCTTTGCACAATTCATGTTCTTTTGTAAATCTTACTAGGTAGGAAGCAGTATATTGTATAAGCATCTCTCTGGATTTTACTTGTTGACTTGACAGTCTACAATACAAAGTTTTCTTTAAAGAACATATTATAGAAATTCTAAAATTAAACATTTTGCTTGAAAGTTACTTTCATAAAGACATTCTTTTCAATATTTCACCTCAGTTTTATAGTTAAGTGGAATAAATGGAAGAATTTAAAGCTAAAGTACTACTTAAATCACCTATTTGCCTTGTTTTAATTTTTTAAAACTTTGGTTTTGTAATACATATATCCTTAACAATTTATGTAATGTTCTATAAGTATAACATTAAGAGAAAAGCTTATGTTGGTAAAGAAAACATAACTATAGAATTGGTCATGCATATTAAACATTTTGGTCTTTTCATGTGTTAATATTGTGTAATCAAGTCTCAATTTTAATGCCCTTATAACTATAGTCTTTAAACTCGTTTAACTTAAATGGAAGTGTTTACAGAGATCACATAGATGTTTGAGGAGAATATTACTTTCTCTACAAGTGAGTCTCTGACACTCTGAAGCTAGGGTCACAATTTGTATCAATATGATAAATATTTAGTGTTTTATTTTATAGATTGTGTAGCTTGTATTACAATACTTTACTGGTAGTAACTAATCTGACAGTATAATATGTTTAGTATCAAATTTATATGTTTGCTCTGGCAGAATGGTTACTGAAAAGAGTAAGTTTATGAAAATTTTAACATATTATGATCAACACAGCAAATTATTTCAATGGATCATTTTTTAGCCCTTGACACAGTGATCACTTCCCTCTTGGTAAATGTGAGGTACTAATTAGATATTTGAGATATTGTTTGAATGAAGCAATGGAGTCTCACTGAAAATCCTACTTTATGTTTTAAGATTCAGACCTTCTCTCTTATATTAAGTCATATTCCAAATAACAGAGTACCTTTTCATAAATATAAAATGTTTTTAATTGGAAAAATATTAATGCTTCTGTCACCTTCACACTTCAGCCACTATCAATTTTCCTTAAGTATTTTAACATTTTATAGTAATAAGGCTTAACATAGCCTATTGAATTTCTGTTTATATTATCAGTTGTGAGAACACATACACCTAGCATTCATATATAATACATGTTTAAAATTTGTTTCAGCTTCACAAATGAGACAAATTCTAACTACATATTAAAACAGCACAACAATGATTTTCAAGTTTGGTTATTAACTTCAGAAAAGAACATATTTCTTCTTTCTTATTACTACTCTATTTTGTGAAATTATCCAGCTTCATTTCATTTGATAAAGAGTTTTAAGGTAGCTTCACCACCACAACACATGCACCAGCTCTTCCAATGTTAACAGGAACTTCCTAAAACAAGAATAAGAAAAAAAAACACTGTTTGATATCTGTCTTAGTATAATATAGAATGTTGGAGTGGAAACGTTCTTATAAACTTTGGTTCAAATTTCACTTTGCATAAAAACAAGAGAAACTGCAGCCTAGATGACAGTTTAGGGTGGTAGAAAGAATGTAATAGACCTACCTTTGAGGATCCAATGATTTTTGGTTTCATCTCTCTGATAATATTCTCACTCAAAAATTGTAGCTAACGTACTTCAAGGTTCTTATGAGGATTAAATAAAATAATAAATAATTTGGCATGTACAGTTATAATACTCCTCTCTGTTAATTCTCTATTACTTTTTCCAAGATCACATAATGAAACACTGACAGGGTCAGAAAAAAATCTACGTCTCTTAGCTGTTGATCTACAAGATTCAGAAAAGTAATTTTGGCAAGCTTCGTGAAATATTTTAATTATAGTATTTGACCTAAAACCTTGTTTGCTAATTTTTTCTTCCATTTCTGGTTGGTACTAAGCAAGGCTAAAAAAAGGACCCATCAACACAATAGGATGGAAGACTTTCTGAGAATCTTAATGAATCAAATTAAGATTAAGCCCCATGATCAGCTGTTATCATCTTAGCATGCAATTTAGAACACAATGAAATACAGTGTATCATGAAGTTATTGTACTGGAATGTGAAGTAGATTCCTAGACATAATGTTTGCCTGTTTGTGTAGATGGTGAAGAGTTAATCAGACTTCATTTTATTTTTATTATTGCATCATTTACTTGACAAAACACCCATGCACATTTTAAAACAAGTCTAAGGCTACCACTAGCAAAACTGTCAAAAGGGACATTTGCCTTTAGCATCTTCAAGATGTCCTTTCCGTGATCTTTTTTTGTAACAACCTTAGAATTTGTTCAATTAGTTTGTCAGATCTTTTGAGAGTGTTTAATTCTGTTCTATTGCTGTGCACTAAATTTTTCAATGACTGAAGCACTTAGGAGTATTGTTTACACAGCCTGTATAAAGAGAAGATTGTAGGTTTTTCTCTTAGGCGCTAGCCAATAAAGGCAGAAATTTGTGCAAGAGGAGATTGTTCATTGTTTCTCAAGTCATAATACACATATAGGTCATTGGACAGAGTAAAGCTCTGCAAATACTTAGGCAGATTCACTTTTCCCATGAAGGCAATGCTTCCATGAAGTCAAGAGAATTATTGGTTCTCTTTCATATAAGTACTACTGGAGACTGCTCATGATCAACTAGTTCAACTAGTGTTTCTCGAAGGCACAGGAAAAGCATGTGCTCTTTATTTCACTAAAGGATGTGGTTAAGCCCCAGAGAGGAAGAACATATAGTTAATTCTCAAAATAAATATTAAATTCCTTTATTACAACCTGAAATATACTAATTTGAAATTTTTACAGAAGTACCTCTTTCCATTCATTTTTCTGAGCATCATAGGACTCAACAGTGTTCAAATAGCTACGTCCATCATATCCTCCAACCACATATAGTTTGTCTCCAAGGGGGCACACAGCAACTGCATCTCGAGGAACACTCAGAGGCGCCACAGTTGACCATGAATCAGTTTTTGGATCGTATCTTCACAGATTTAGGAAGAAAGTTGAGAAGCACAATCCAACAATGTTAAAATGAAAATAATAGATATTAATAAAATGCACACTTATCTATAAAATAGAATCAAAAACACAAATACCTATCAAGATTGGCTAGTGTTAAGAATATGTACATGACAAAATTTGCATCAACCACCAGAGGTCTCTCAAAGCATATGGAAAAAGTGTTACTTTCCTAAATACCAAGCATTTCTTTAAACAGTACTCAGATTCACTTAGAGGAAATTTCACCTATCAGTATCCTAATATTATATGAAAAATGCCTCCTCTATCATCTAGTACAGCGGTTGAGGAACTTTTTTTTTCTTATTTTTTGTTCATTAAAATTATAACTTGGATGCTGATCCCGTTTATATTAGAGCTCACATTTTAAAATAAATCTAAATAAATATAATTGCCTTGTTCTTCAGTTTAATGGAATTTAGTTGTCTGAATTTAGTATTATTTTCTTTTAGAATGGACATAGTCTTATCATGTCTTTTTCCCTTTTGAATTTTCTTATTGAACTTTCCCCAAACCTAGGACTTTTTTTTAATACCCTTTCATCCAGCATTAACTCTTTATCCCCAAACCTATTCAGAAACCAGAAGAAAAAAGAATTCACTAAATAATATTAATTAACATCCTTTCTGGATTTTTTTCCCTGAACTTTGAAGCCCATTTTAAAATACATGACACTGCCAAGCGCCAGTGGCTCATGCCCTATAATCCTAGCTACTCAGGAGGCAGAGATCATTTGGGTTGTCGTTTCAAGCCAGCCCTGAACAAATAGTTCATGAGACCCTATCCTGAAAAAAACCTACCACAAAAAAAAGGCTGGTGGTGTGGCTCAGGGTGTAGTCCCTGAGTTCAAACCCCATTATTGCAAAAATAAATAAATAAATAAATAAATAAATAAAATAAAAGTATGTGACAATAAAATCTATACAGGGTGAAAAAAAATACCAGAATTTGTATAATTGTACCTGGAAAGTTCTCTGATTCTATATTGACCAATTCACTAAAGTCCACTGAAAAACATTATAAGAACTTTTCATTTATCACCTTCTACTCATTTAGTTATAGTTCTACTATCTCCTCTTTAGCTCTATAATCATATTCTACATCATTTCATCTCAGCTTCCATCTGAACTTGACAAGAATATTTTAATGCTATGTAAATAAAACAAATAATAAAGACAATTTCAACATGTATTCTATATTCTTGTCATGTAGTATATCATAAAACTCTGATTTTTTAAAAAAATTACATGTTTAAGATTCTAACGTAAATGCAATAACAGCACTAGTATTAAAAAGAGGAAACTAAACAAATATTCCATTTTGTGCACTATAGCCACAAAACTATATTATGGACTTTAGCACTACTGTCCAAGCAAAAACATAAAACAGAGAAGAGGAAATGGGGGATAGACACAAAAAAAATAACATGTTTTATCTTTTTTTTTTTTTTTTTTCTTTTTCTTTTTTTTTTTTCATTTTTCTTTTATTATTCATATGTGCATACAAGGCTTGGTTTATTTCTCCCCCCTGCCCCCACCCCCTCCCTTACCACCCACTCCACCCCCTCCCGCTCCCCCCCTCAATACCCAGCAGAAACTATTTTGCCCTTATCTCTAATTTTGTTGTAGAGAGAGTATAAGCAATAATAGGAAGGATCAAGAGGTTTTGCTGGTTGAGAGAAAAGGTGAGATAAAAAAGAATTAACCTAGAAGGTAACACCCACGCACAGGAAATCAATGTGAGTCAATGCCCTGTATAGCTATCCTTATAACATGTTTTATCTTAAGTCAACTTGTTACTAGTGTTCTGAATCAAAAGGCCAGACTCTGGGGAGTTCCAACAAATCATAATGATGAAAGGCAAGAAAGGAATTTAATATTTAGTAAGGCCATACTGGGAACACAAGGGAGATGAAGCAACTCAGCCTTGTCTTCAGTGGTACTACCACACTGAATAGGGGAAGAACTTGGGCAAAGGGCAAAAGGTATGCATTATTGAGTGGTCTTGGTCAAACTACAGTCTGGTTGATAATTATCTTAGTTCTGGTCACCCAGCATTTTATTGGTGTCAAGGAAATTGCTGCTCCTGGGAGGGGCAAACAACATTTGGTGCTAAGGAAACTGCTGTTGCTCAGGGGGCAATCTACATTCACTTTGCATGATACTTGTCTATCACACTTGTGATCCTAGAAGTTGGGGGTGGGGTTTGGTTCCCATGATATGATTGCTCCTACTTTGGGGTGGTCTCAAAATTCTGATGTTATGATAAGACACAGAATCAGGAAATTTCTAGTTGTTTGCTCTAGCTAACTTGGATCTACCAAACAATAGCTATTTTTAACCAAGTCTGCACTCAGTGACAGTATACAGATATGTATGAATAGAGAACCAAAACTCACAGGAAGATTTCTGTACAGATTTGCATCTAAAGGCCCAAGACTTGTCTGCATGTGCATGATAATTAATGCTTAGAATCTGGCTAATGTTAACATTATGAGGATATTGTGAGGCTAACAAGAAGACTGGAGAAGTGTTGAATCATTTGAAGAAAAAATTGGCAGTATGGTTACTATCTATATAGACAAACATTGGTAATTATGAAAGAAAAAGTTGCAACTACATCAAATTCAAATGAAAACAGCATCACTTCTCTCCTTTTTTGTTTCTCTTTTCCTTTTTTGTCTCCCATTAATTAAAAGTTAACTGTATATATTTTACTGGAAATAAAACTGATCATAAAAACAAGAAAATTAACTATGGACTTATTCTCTCTTGACTAATTAGGGATAATTTACTTTAATTCTCACATTTAATTTTCGCATTAAACTTATAGAAATAATAATCCCTGACCCAACCAATGTGATGGGTTTAGAATCTTTAAAGTTAAATATTTATTTTAAATAACTGGGAAAGAGACTCCTATTGTACTGGGTAGGCCAACAAAGTTTTAATAATTAATAGTGTCATGAAAATCATTCAAGATATAGAAATAAAGTTATCTGGTTTCATTAGTGTGCATTCTTGATTATAGATAAATCTGTTTTAGAATTTAATTTGTAGAAGTTGCAGACTACTGGTTTTTGCGATTCTTTTCTGTGATAAAAATGAATTTCTCTTGATAGAGACAAAATTGATTTCTACCATATGGAATCATAACTCCAAATGGTTGTATTGTATTTGAATTATATGATGTTAACTAGTTTTGCATAAATTAATATTTTTTCAGCATTCTTAATTGTCAAAATGTATTTTCCTCAAGTACTCTTTTGAACTCTTTTTATCATCTTAAGGTGACTTTATTAATCAATGAGTCAAATCAAATAAAATGTTGGATACATTTTCATTTTACATTAACATAAAATCATGATTTTTAACTTTTTGAAAATTATACCTTAGGATAATACTAATATGAAAATAGTACTAACAAAATAGTACCTCCCATTAATATCTACTGAGTTTTTATTATATAGCAACCAATATTGTTAAGCACATCTAAAATTTTTATCTTTATAACCTATGAAGTTATACCATTATTATTCTCATTTTACATGAAGAAGTTGATTTTATTTTGTGCTCTATATCTTGAAATTTTCAATATAAGCAAATGAAATTGGAGCTTATATTTTCCTATTGGGGTATGTAAATGCTTAATTAAGTTGATATACATCTTTTAAGACATTGTAAGATTAACTTCACTGTGGTCCACCTTCTCTCTTCTTTAGGCTTTAAGGTAGAATTGGACAATTTCACAGCTTCACAAAGTAAAACTAGGAAAACATTGGTATAAGAATGAGCCAAGTAAGTGCAATGCAAGTTTTAGGATTATGATTCAACAAATAGAGGGATGGTAACATGACTCAAGGGGTAGAGCAGCACCTGCCTAACAAGTGATGCTCAAAGCAAACAAATAAAAATAAAAAATGGGCCTCAAAAGCTGCAGTAGAAGAAGAGCACAAACTCTAAGATACATAAAGAAAAACTCTTATTTGTGTTCTTTACAAGAAAATTGTTTTTATAAGGGCCTAAAATACTATTTGTTTCAATTGTCTATTTATTTACATGATTTGTTCAGATGGAATATTTGAGAGGTCATGTCTGATTTCATAGTAACAAATATTTGTGGATTCTTACTAGATATAATTTTTATAGCATTCTGTTACTGTGTATTAAATCCTCTTATACAACTTTCAATATAAAAGAACAGTGGGAATTTCCCATATGATTTTTACCTTTTGACTGCTCTTTCCCATGATTTTATCACATCAGTGCATTCTAAGTATTAAGGAAATTATAAGATAACATAATTATTTTACATAGATTTGTTTCCACTATTAACCACTTAGTACAATAACTCCTGATATTATATGTTTATGTTATTGGAGGTGATTTAGTTTGTCTACTATATCAAGAGCTTTATAAAGAGGCTATAGATACCCAGTTCTCAAGGACAAAGCCGCAAATATATATGAAAGTATAGAATTCAGTGCCTAGGTACACTTGCTTAAAACCTGTGCATATCTTTTAAACAAACAACGGACTTTTGATGATATGTATACATTTTCTGATAGGCAGGTTTGTAGCCAAAATTTTGTTCATTCTGTGCTGTCTATAAACTTTTGTGGTATACAGAATCATCAGTAAATTATCTAGGTTGTTTAAAATGTCAGTGGAATTTATTCTGGTTAAAATTTTTCTTGTGCTGTTTTAACAAGCTTTGGGTCTATGATATTTTTGAGTATTCCTAAGAGGAAAACATGATTCTTTTAACTATACATACAAATACACACACACACATACATGCACACAAAATGCATAAAGTTTGGCACACATAGCAAAATTCTATATGAATAAAGGAGAAAACTATTCTTGAAGTTTAATTCTGTCAATTACCTGATGTAATGTAACAGACTTAATTTTGAGCTGTGAAGTTCAAGAGAGGTATCTGATTTTTCAAATGCCAAATTTTCAACAAAAGATCACAGGGCAATGGAAAAAAAACAGATTTATTCAAAAGAACAAAATAAATGCTCAGAAACTCTCCTGTATAAACACATGCAAATACCATCAGTAATTAGAAAGTCCTTAGTATGTCATGTTCTATACCTAGGATAAACCCAACATAAAGCCTTCATGTCTTTTCAGACTTTTTCTCAAAGTATATGTTTTTGTTGTTGTTGTTTTGATTTGGTATTTTTTGTATATGTATGTGTGTATATGTGTACATGTGCATGTGCATTTGGTTTTCCAAACACTGTCTACTTTCGAATGTTTAAATTATCCAGAGTCTGGGCTCTGGTGTTCATTCCTATTCAACTTGTCCTAGTTGTCTGCACATTTGTAGTATGTTAGTCAGTCACTGTTCATTTAATGTTTTTGTTTGAGAATGAGTCACTTAGCTTTCTAGTTTGCCATCTAACATTACTCTCCAGTGGTACTACATTGATAAGATTAAATCCACATGAAAATTATGTTGAGTTGTCTATATAATTAAATAGAAAGCTGAAGTCTTGGTGTCCTTTATTTATAGACAGGAACACAATATTGGAATTGTATAATATAAGTAATTACAATTAGAAAAGACTTTTGAAATCTAGTATAACTTTGTCATTTTACAGAAGTGGAAGTTGGGAGCCAATCTTGTAAATGAAAAACAGTAGTAAAAGGGATTTTTATGTGAATTTTGTAAAACTATAAACCAATCACATTTTACTTTCAGCGCAAAATTAAGTCTGTTATATTACATCAGGCAATTGACAGAATTAAACTTCAAGAATAGTTTCCTCTTTTATTCATATAGAATTTTGCCATCTGTGCCATACTTTATGCATTTTGTGTATGCACATGTATGCGTGTGCGTCTTTGTGTGTATGTATAGCTAAAGGAATCATGTTTTCCTCCTAGGAATACTCAAAAATATCATATACTTAAAGCTTGTTAAAACAGTGAAAAATTTTAACAAGAATAAATTCCAATGAAATTTTAAACTACCTAGATAACTTACTGATTACTTCTGTATACCACAAAAAGTTATAGACAGCACAGAATGAACAAAATTTTGGCTACAAATCTGCCTATCAGAAAATGTATACATTCTTGTGTTTATACTGGAAATTTTCTGAGCATTTATTTTGTTCTTTTGAATAAACCTGTTCTTTTTTCCATTCCTTTGAGTGTCCTGTGATCTTTTGTTGAAAATTTGACATTTGAAAAACATAACAATCTAAGACAGGACATTAAAATAATTACCAGAGCAGTTAGGTGAAAAAGATAAATAAAAGTCTTTCCTTTAAGCTTTTTCTCTGATCATGAAACAAACAAGGTTCGTACTTTCACTTTTTCTTTTTTTGTAATTTATTGACTTATTTTATCGTTTTTATGTTTACTGTATACATTGTTTGGGCCACCTCATCCTCTCCGCCCCACTGCTTCCAGGCAGAACATGTTCCTCCCTTTTGTTCTTCAATTTTGTTGAAGAGAAATAAGAGATAATAACAAAGACACAGTGTTTTTGCTAATTTGAGATAATGATAGCTATACAGAGAGATTCCTAGTGTTGCTTCCATGCACATCTATACTGTGACCCACATTGGTTCATCTCTTACCAGACCTCTTCACTATTTCCTGGTGCCCTTCCTACAGTGGCCTATGCCAGTTTAACATTCTTATATGCACTTCTCTACAGTATGCACATCAACAACATTCAAGTTTTAGGTTTCCTTCCCTTTCCCTATCTTTATTTTAATCAACATACTATTTGTCCAAATGTATGTTTCCCACTCAAAGAACTTATTTTGGGAAATTTACAATAGTTAATGTCATTTTTCAGAAAATTATTAGTATGCTTATTTGGGAGTTTTGTCTATATTCTGTGACAGTAAAACCTTTATCATTTTGAGGACTGATTTGATTTTAGAAACAATAAGCTTAATTTGATGAGTTTGGTGATTTGATTGATATAGTTTGTCATTTAATTTTATTATTTTATTGCTTTTGACTATCAAACAATAAGACAACATATTTCATAAAGTTTTATGCTGTATGTAAATATATAAGGATTTTTCCAAAATACTTTGCATCTAAGAGTAAGTATATAATTTTACAAAGGATTTACACTGAAAAGATTAATACTTGCTTGGAAGGTTTATTTTCTGATACTTAAAAAAAATCTTTCTCTTTTCTGTGAAATAAATAATCAAATAATCACACCCATAAATAAACAGAAACAATTTACCTTTCCACACAGTCAGAAAGCCTGGAGCAATGGTTAGAAGCAGGGGCATCATGACCCCCTACAACATACAAGTATCCATTGTGTGTTGCAACTCCCACACCTCCACGTCTTTTGGACATTGGCACACACATACTCCACTTGTTAGTGTGTGGGTCAAAGTATTCCATTGATTTGAGGCAGGAACTTCCATCACGTCCACCGATAGCATATAACCTAGACAAAAAGAGAATTGTGTATATGCATGTGTATGGACACACAAAGATGAGAATGAAAGAACCTCACGTAAAGCATTTCAAGAGTATGATGTTTCTGATTTCTATATACTACTCCCCCGCTCTTTTGCAACAGATAGCCTGAGTTTGTGAATGGATAGTATCTGGGGTACCTATTAAGGTTCAGCCTATCCCAAGCCTCCTTTTGTCATCATTTTTGTCAAAGTAATTTTTACATGATAGATTAAAATATCCTATGAAATTTGTACAGAAAAAGTTGGAAAATATTAAAAGGATTGTCAAGATGAGCTCCAAGACAAACTCAAACAACCTTAGAAATTTAGGCAGGTCCAATTGCATAGCATATAAATCCATGGTATGAGCTATTTTATTTAATATAAAGTATTTATCACAAGATATTAACTTAATAACCAAGTAAGGGAATAGGACAGAATGCAGAAGCTGGATTTTTCCAAGGAAGAAATGTTGGCTACAACATTTTCCCTTTTAACCTTAAAACAACTCTTTTGATGAGCAGAATTTTAATCTAATTTAGATTTAATCCTGCAACAAAAAGATGATATCTATTTATAAAAATATATGCCTACAACTGCCCTTGATGATGAATTGTGAAGAATAGCAACTCAACAAAACAAAATTAAATGAGTTGAAACTTGATGTTTTCCTCATGTTCTGTTATATATAAGGATTAATGTTAATCACCTGACATCATTCAGGTCATACCAGAGATAGTCAGATTTAAGAATACATTAAACTCTGAAATGTTGTAAATACAAATCTCCTGCTATGCATAAACATTTGCTATTTCTTTTTGTGCAAGATTCTAATATCCATCTGAGCTGAAATTTCTGCTGAGCCCATTTATATGATGAAACATTAGCTTTATACATAAACAGTACACACTCACAAAGCTGTCTACTGCCACTGACCCATCCTATTTTCTGAAATTCTTATCATGCAACCTTATATGCTGGTTGTCTCCAGAGGTCCCTTGTCAGAAGGTATATGATTACGTGCTAACAATTCAAGCTCTTAGAAATAGCTGACACCATCAGGTTTAGTATATTAGCTTTCTTTCTCCCACAGGGAAGCTATCAGAAAGAGGTAAACAGTCAGGAAGGGCTATACGAGGTGGGATTTTTGATTCTCAACTGTGAAAACTCAAGAGAGAGATTGTTGAACAAAAGGACTCAACTTGTGACAAACAAGGACAGATAAATGTTTTGATAAATGTGTAGCTGCTTCAAACAAACAAAAACTATAACTTTTTTTTTTTTTTTTACTTTTACAGAATCGGAGAACAGGAGGGCGGAATAAGTCCTGCCTGGCAGTTGGTACCACTGAGAAGGAGGAAGATGTGGGGAAATGGCATGGAATGGTGAATATAGTGCAAATACTGTATACACATGTACGTAAATGGAAAAACGATATCTGTTGAAACTATTCTAGGAATAAGGGGAGGGGAGGATAAAGGAGAATGTTGAAGGGGGTAATTTCAGCTATGATACATTTGATATACTGTAAGAACTTTTGTAAATGCCACAGTGTATACCCACCCTGCACAACAAAAAAGTGTAAATATTGTCAAACTGATAGGTCCTTGAACGTAAAATTGGACAGATTGCATACAAAAATGCTTCTCAAATTTAATGTACATAATAGATCTTGTTAAAATGCTGATTCTAACTCAAGAGGTCCATGATGGGACATTTCTAAAGAGATCTCAAGGAATACTGATGCTAATAGTCTCAGGACTACACTCTGAATAGCAAACAACTATAGAATATTTAATTGATTAATAATGGAAAATTCCAAGAAAGGCCATTCATAATTGATAACAAGCGTATCTTGATCCTTAAAATGCTTATTAATTGATGGATTATGTGTCTTAAGTCCTCTACCACATGACTTTGGGGCAAATAGCATGTGTATTTGGATTTACTCACTTCTTGTTTAATGCAACAACTCCAACTGTGCTTCTAGGAGTTGACATACTGGCCACATAATTCCACTGGCGTCCTTCAGGGTCCCATCTTTCTACAGTATTTAGATAACTCCACCCATCATGGCCACCAACAGCATACATTGGTCCTTCAAGTGTGGCCACACCTAAAGGATAAAAATAGAATGAAAACTCACCCAGGTATGTCAATCACAATGTTTATTATTTAATTTGCAAGTAACTGAATGGTCAAAAGTTTGATATTTTGTTTCTTAAATGGTTTTCCATATATATGAATACTTTGAAGATTCTGACATATGGGTAATTATGGTCTTCTAACCCTAGGAAATTTTTAGTCATAGCTATGAATCATGGGAGGGTATCATTGTTGCACAACACATAAATAGTGGAATGCACTGCTAGATATACAATAAAAATGAGAAGCTGAATTTTTCTGACATAAGTTTAATGCTATTTTTTAATGCAATGGATACTTTAGATACGAAGTTCATTCTTAAACAAATCTACAATTGTAGGCTTAATGTGGAAGGTGTTTTCGTGTTTTCAGTATAAGTATAAGAAGAAATAGAGGAGATGAACCATTTTGGCATATAACACATATATATGTAGAAATATCATAATGAAACTCTCTGTATAGCTAGCTATCTTAAACAAACAAAAATGTTTTTGTTTTTCAAAAATGGAGGACAGGAAGGTAAAACAGGTCCTATCTGGGGGTTGATACCAGTGTGAGGGGGGAGGATATAAGGAAAGGGTGTATGAGTGTGAATATGATGGAAATACGATGTATTCATGTATAAAAATGGAAAAATGAGACCTGTTGAAACTATTCTGAAAATGGGGAAGAGGGGAATAATAAAAATGAAACCCCAATACCTCAACAAAAGAGAGACTTACTTCAAAGAGAAGCAGGTTGTGGGGGGGATGGTGGGGGTAACCTCACCAATGTACAATGTAAAGCTATTTGAAGTTGATGCAATGAATCTCCCCTGTACAATGAATATATCCTAATAAAAATGGAAAACAAAACAAAACAAAAAGAAATCCATTTTGTTAAATACTAGGAATGGCTCCTTTCTGATTGTCATCTGTACTGGAAACTCACAAATGTGGCTTTTCCTCTACCTTCTTTACCATCCCAATTAACCTATCAGTGGTATATCCTCATCACCTCTCCTATGTCTTTACTAACATCCATTAGATTTAAAGAAAACTTATGGTTTCTTGCCAGGATATGACTATGTCTAACTATTACACTGATGTAACTGAGCTAATAATTATATATTGTACTACTTAGCAGAAACAATTGTCAGGATAAACAGGGGCAAAAGAAACCAGTCCTCTATCTGCCACTTAATGGTCCTATAAATGTTCATTCCTATCCTATCCTATGCTAACCTATCCCACATCTCTATCTTGGACCTACATTCTAAGATTTTGATGAAATGTAGATTTGCTTTTGTAGGAAGAGATGTGATTAATCTAAGCAGAACCACAATGCCTCTACATCATCAAGTACTCCCCTCTCTAAACTGTGCTTGGAGAAAACTCTCTCTGTTGTACTTTCGTGTTCCTCAATAACATATCCCTTTTAAAAGTTGCTCTCTTTTCCTAAAATGGAATCTCTTTAAAAACCAGTGGAAGGGAGACAAGGATAACAAGTATGACATCTGCTACAACTAAAGAATTTCTTAGGTATTACCAGTTGATTAAGATTTTTAGCATTTTTTGAGACATTTTGACTAAGGGTTTAAGAATATCCCCATAATGTGCCACATGGCTCTTACCTAAGCCATGCCTATGTGTTGACATTGGAGGCATCACAATCCAGATTTTGGCAACTGGATTAAAACATTCCACAGTATTCAAGGTTTTTAAACCATCTCTTCCTCCCACAACATAAAGCTTATTATCAATGACTGCAACTCCAAACTGAAGCCTACGGCCACTCATGGTGCCAATATGTAGCCAATTGTTGGTCCTGAGGTCATATTTTTCAATTGTAGTGGTACCTAGTAAAGGGATATTTAATAATAGTAAAAATTGTTTATGTTACAATTTTAAATTGACATAATCCACACTATATGTTAAAACCATAACTTTTCATACAGTTTTAGTGATTGTAGTTCATACTAAATTAAGTAGCTTAGATAATGGTAGAAGGTGAGAGATAAGGTGAAAGGTTATAGCTTTACCACTTCTGGATCAGAACAGAAGATTCACAATAAAATAATAAGTATGGCTTATATAATCATAATGGCCGCACACTCTACAGTATACATACAGACATCATTTTTGAGTCAAAAATATATATTGGATTCTGTCTTTGAATACTTACACTTATTTTGAAGTTTTAATTACTTATGACTATTCAATATGCTAATTTCTGCTGGGGGCATGTATGTATGTGTTTGTATAGGTAGGGGTGTGTGTGTGTGTGTGTGTGTGTGTGTGTATGTGTGTGTGTGTGTGTGTGTATTCATTTAGAAGACAGAGTAAAGAACCAAGAACGAAAATTCTTTTCCAATGGACCTTTACCACAATGTTCCATGTTAGTAATACAAAAAATTATAGCTACAAACATAGAATTTATAGAATTCAGAGGTATTTATTCCTTTATGACAATTTTGTCTACTACCTAATTACTGACATACCATGTTTACTGCTGTGGTATGCTGTCACTACTGCCACAGGAAATTTAATTCCTTTATTCAGTAATAAAATTTCATTTTCTATTCAATTTATTGAAATATCAAGTTCACTACCATAGTATACTGTCCATATTATTGCAGTAAATTAGCACTATAGCATGACAAACTGTTACTTCTGTAGGTAATGCTTATCAACATTCACCTGTAGTAGTTGCAGATTTTGCACAACAGGGACATTTCTGAGAAATAAGTAAGGTTAGATAATTGACAAGAATTGTCTGTACCTACACTTTAGCTAAGACAGTTTGTGGAAGGTTAGGGAATTGAATTTGAATTTCACAAAGCCAACCAGAGGGATAAGCAAAAGCACATTCTACTCACTTCATTAGTGAGTGATTTGTGGAGAAGACATAATTCATTTTTCATAATGAAAATAAAGTTAATATCTGAAAATAAAGTTAATATCTAAAGTTAATTAACTTTATCTAATAAAGTTAATATCTACCTATTCATTGGTAGGTATAGGCTATGTATATAGGCAGTTATGTAAAGTCCTATCAAATCAAAATTTTAAGTTGACTATATATTAGATCTATAGTTGATTCCAAAAGTTTGTCCTGGATTAAGTTTAACTTAGATTAGATTATCTTTTCTGCATTAAATATATCTTTATGATGCTATTAAAACTGGAATATCTAAAAACTCCAATCTATTTTGACTATGTTTTCTGTCAGTCAGTTTCCCTGAGTGTTTTCATGTCTTTCCATTTCCTTATTTCTATTTCGCAGATCTTTCTTCCTGTTTCTTCTGATTTTAACTTTTTACTTCTTTTCTGTCAGTGTACTTTATCAAAGATCCAATTTAGATTATAAATGAAAGCTGGGTTGTACTAATTATTAAAGCTATAGAGATATTAACAGTGATATAATTAGTTAGGAAATTGCACAATGCTACATTAACTATTGGTATGCGGGGATTTACACTGAATGACATAGACATGTGTTTATAGAAGATAACATTCTCATACCTTTTTATTGCAGTTGTAAATGTTTTGATGGTAGTTCAGCATCTTGAATTCTGACAACTTCTCTAGCCCATATTCCCACCCCATCAGTGTTCCAAATAATCAAAAATGTAAATTCTCTAATTAGCTTGGTAGGTCTACATTTAATGCAAATATATAAATTGCATCTTTAGTGATCTCTCTCATTTTTAGAATTTGTCTATATAAACAAACCTTCTGCTAGTGTACTGCAAATATTATTTCTTACTTCACTTTTAAATTCTTGCTAAATATTCATTTGTAATCTTTGCAGGACTAAAGAAAACCTACCAGACTTTGTAGTACTGCTAGGAACACTATAGTTTCTGACATTGAGACTTGTAATTTCCTTCATTCATTTTAAAAATGGTATAAAAGTGACCATATTTCCCTTTACTTTTTTCATTTGCCACACTTTCTCTCAGAATCCATTGCATTTAATAAATAAAAGGTTACTGAACAGCGGTTTAGTCATCGAAGTCATCCAAGATTACCATTTGACCATTTTAAAATTTTGACTCAGATCATACTTAGAATTTTCTGATTCATTTGGATATTTTAAGAGTAATAATTATCTCCAGCCAATTGTGCAGTATCTATATTTAACAACTAATTCTGAGATTATTGTATGAGTCAGAGAGGAAACTGAGGACTGAGGAAGTACTATTTTTTCTAGACTCAAAAGATGAAAGTTCAAAAAATTTCTTTAAAGAAATAACTGAAAGAACCAACTTCAAGAAAAATCATATGCATATAACTCTTTTTTATAGTTTTGTGAAATAATGTGAACTGATACAGTTCTTCAATATAATACTGATTTACATAAATAAATAAATGTTACTCTTTTCATGGGTTTTTTTTATTACACTTGATTTTTTTATTTCTCTTTTTTCAGTTGTTGTTCCTAAGTAACCACTCTGGTTTTTTCAACAGATTTAAAGACCTGAATTATAGAGGAGAATTTTGTTGTAATTTCTTCTGTAATAGTGAGAATGTAGGAAAACGAACACAATAAGAAAAGGAACATAGAATTTGAGTAAGAATTCCACTTCCAGTCTTTCTAGATGTTTTTCTTGGATTGGCTGTCTAATCTTAAGATGTTCATAGTAGAAGTAATAAAATCTCTCTTGTAACACTATTGTAAGGATTAGAAATTATGTTTCCAAAATTCCAATCAGGGACACAAAATTTGTGTACTCAGTTTGGGTACACAAAAATCTACAATTCTTCTAGTAGTCTGCAACCATAAAGCCTTTTATGTTGTCAAAGGCTCTCAAAATGATGGCTTCACTATCATCCATAATAAACTGTGGTAATAGGATTCACATTCTATTTGTTTTTAAAAGCAGATAATGTGTTACATATACATATCTTTTTGTAAAAAATTCGTTTATACAATAATAACTTAAATGAAAAGTCTGGGAAAATGACAAAAATAGAAACAAACACACAAAAAAGAATAATAAACATGAAAGTTTCCAATCTTTTCTTTTGTTTGTTTTTTTCTTCCTTTTTTTTGTGTGTGGTACTGGGATATGACCCCAAGGCCTTTCACTTGCCAGACAAGTGCTCTCTCCAGCACCTCAGCCACTCCACATGACCTAAAAGTTTCCTGTTCTCAAACTGCAAATTAATCTTTTTAAAAATATTACAAACTGATCTATCTACCATAGATAAGTGGTAGAGCACTTATTTAGCATTTTTAAGGCCTGAATTTGATACTAGGCACTGAAAAAAAAACCCTACAAAGATAAACGTACTTGCATTTTGTATTTAGTACATTTAATTTAATTATCAAACTAAAATCCTTCTAAAATACTATTGATATTAATTATACTTAACCAAGTTTAATTACACAACAAATTGTTAGACTTGAAATTTATTTATAGGAATCTATTGTGTTTGTAAGTTTATGAAGAACACTAGTTCTGTGAAGTAACATTACAACTTTGGAAGTGACTGAATTTGCAATATCTTTTTATAAGTATTGTGATTTGGATATGTCCTCTGAAATTCATCTGCTGGAAAATTCTTCCACAATGTGACATTACTGAGATGGTTGATCTGTAAGAAGTGATTAGGTCATGAATGAATTAGTGCCGTTCTTACAAGACTGGGTTAGTTGCCATGAGAACACATTGTTATAAAGCAAAAACAGGGAGAGAGGGGAGCTCCAAGAGGGTAATAGAGGGAATGAATATGTTCAAACTATTCTCTGTGCTTGTAAATGTCATGACAAAACCCATTACCTTTTGTGGTTAATGTAGGCTAATAAAAAAAAAGAAAAAATAATAATGTTGCCCCTTTGTTTTTTGTCTACTTATACATGTAACTGCTGCTTTGCCCTCCCACTTTTCCACTACATTGAATTTTCAGCCTTCCAATAAATACATTTCTATTCATTAGAAATTTCACAGTCTTACATATTCTCTGTTAGTAGCATAAAATTGACTAACACAAAAGGCTGTCATTTACTGGTATATTTCTTGCATATTCTTCCGATTACCAGTTACATGAATTGAAGGAAAGAACAGGTTTCCAGGTTTTGATATTATTTTCCTCAATGTATGAAATAATGTTTCCATTTATGATTCACCAATACATTCTGTTTTGTTCAAAAACTAAATCTGAATTGTCTTGACTCTTTATTTTTAAGACTAAGTAAGTTTTCCCTGAAAATATTCCATAATGTAAAGTGAATATTCAAACTTAAAGTTGATTCCATAAGGTAAAAGTGCCTATTAAGAGTTTAGCTGATACAAATTAAAGGATTATGTCCCATAACATAAGAAGAAAAATGAAGCCACAAAACACATAACGTATCCTTATTTATGAAAATTACATTTAGATACACACATTTCACACATTTAAAATGGTTTTAATACCACAGTCATAGTTTGGTGGGTGCTGAGAATCACTTATTTTTTTGAACAAAGACACTTTTCAAATTAATTTGTCCATTCTACCTTTCATAGCATCCATGCCTCCTACAGCATAAAGTGCTCCCACAGTTGATTTTCTAGGTTTTGTTCGAGGGCTTTGCAACATGGATCTTCTTTCAGGCAAGAGATGATATTTCATAGCTTCCAATAGGAGCTTCTGACACTCAAGATCACCAGCAAACATGGAACTGTTTTCAAGATCAGCAAGTAACTGAAAAATAGTCATGCATGGAATAGATATCAAGAGTCCGCCATTGGAGAGAAAGAACATGTATTAGTTTATATAACATTGGAAAAAACTGGAAATAATTCAAATTAAAATTTCTTATTGTTTAATATTTTAAGTCACTTGATGAGATATTTTCATTTTTACTTATGCAAAAAGACTAAAAGCATCAAAGTGTAACTAATGATCTATGCAAGCAGCTTTATTTCATTGATAGTGCATGTCTTAGATTGTACATATATTATCGGAAGGAGTGAGTGTGGAAAAACACTTATAAAAATATTACCAAGATAGGCAAAGAGATAGGTTGTGTCTGTAAAAAGTAAGAATCTCCTAGTCTATTGCATGTAGTTAATGCAAGAAGTAAACTTTGGGTGGTTTGGGATAGTAGTAGTGGTAATGATCATGTGTGGTGGTCTATTTAAAATGGTATGGCCTACAGGAGACTGAATTTTTATCATTAAATCACTTCAGTAGAATATTCTGAAATTAAGTGTATTTTAGCTGAGTTCAGGTATATGCATTAGCAACTAGTCAAGATCTAAGCAAAAGTAGGCAATAAAACCATTTGGCAGGCATAAAGTAGAATCCTAATTGACACTGATGAAAGCTGGGTAAAGTATTTTTCCTGAGTTGAATTGTAGAAAAGTCAAGAGTACATTTGAGAATGTGTTCAAGGGTCATATTAAATTGGCTTCCTCCTGATCTGGGATCCACAGTATCATAGAACATAGGAACAGCAAGCAAGTTTGTTGGAACAGAAGTGCTCATCTGACCCCAAAAAGCATTTCTGAAGTTTCTTGCTCTGCACTGATTAGCTCCAGTTGTGTTCTCACTTCACCTGTAATCTTTTTGACATTTTTTTCATGGCATATTTGGTAAAAATAGTTTTGAAGACTAACTTAAGTAATTGAATTCTGAAGGTATTATTCAGAGATTCTTCACCATCCTAGTCATATATTTCATTTCTAAAATGTTTAAGGTAAGTTTTAAATTTGTTTTGTGAAGCCTATAATTGCACGCTATTGTCTATCACAGTCATCATGAGGAAAAGTTCACACAGTCCATATGCTAAACAAAAGGGATTCTTAGAGGTAAAAGAACAAAACACCAGTGGTTGGGTGTATGGGCTGGAAATTTCCCTTCCCTTCAATAAAGAGCACTTCAAACTAATCACAATGCTTGAAAAATGTCAAATAGGTTTAACAGCTTCTAATACCAGTACATCTCAAATTTTGCATGCCTAAAAATCATCTAATGTACTTATTAAAACACACACTCCACAACCTGACTTCCAGACATTGCTTCAGTGGGTCTGGAGAGAGGCCTGAGAAATTATGATTTTTAACAAGCAACAAGGCAATACTATGCTGCTTATCCAGGAACATTTTGAATGGCACTGTCCTAGAGAATTTAATAAGTCACATAGACTCTCTCTTGAGAAAACACATACACAAGTTCACACAAACCTGAAATTTCTACATATTACAGAGTTCATCTATGTATTCTAAGTTTACAATCTAGAGTCTAGGATTACAAGTACACTTTAACATTCCTTTTTAATATTTTAACTCTTGCCTTGATCTTTGAATAAATTTGCTCCTGATCAGGAGGGCAATCAATGTTGTGCCACTGCAAATATATAATTTTATGAAATTTAACTTATAACTAAAAGTAAGTATGAATATTTATATATACACACATATTATGTCTATACGAAGAAACTATCAGCAGATTAACAATCTTCTTTTTAATATTTACATTTATTAATTTTGTGAAAATTGTTAAGTTTATTATTTTTGAAATTATTGATACACTAAGTTTAGTCAAGGCTCTTCTTTTCAATGTGGATAATGTTTGAAGAAGACTTTAGCCACAAACTCAGTAAATATGAACTGCATATAGGAAATATATTTTTCTATATAATATCAATTATATACATTACTGATCAATATACTACAGAGAAAAATTCTTTATCACCAGTGGTGGAATTGTGTAGTGGAACTTCATTGCAGCATCACAAAAACTTCACATAGTAAAATTTTGTACAATGTAGGTCAACTTCATCTTATCTAAGGTGTTTCATCATTGCAATAGTTCTTCACTTTGGCATGCATGATGAGGATACCATAGAAATGATGCTCAAGTGCATCTGTATTGATGATAGCATGCTTTCAGTGACAGCAGATAATTACCCATGTTAGTAGGTATTATCCAGGATCTGTCTCCTTCCTAAAGAAGCCTGTGGGAGGTTATTATGCTGATTATTAACTAGAAAGCTAGCAGAAAAAGAAAAAGAGCCTAGTTATTTTCCCTATTTGTTACAAGTGCTATTTGGGAAGACAGGAAACTGTAACTGTATATTCTGATGTTTATGGATGGACTGTAGTTTTTATCCATGTTTCTTCTATTACAATTATTAATATCTCCAATCAGGAATTGAATATGTCTTCTGAAATAAATCCTGCATATACCAATTATCAGATATGGTCTGAATAAATAAGCAAGTAAGGAATGGATTAGTAACTAGTGTTAGTTTAGAGTGCTAATTTGCACTACCTGGGTAAAGGTGCATACCTGTGGTGGAAGTAGTGGCAATCTGATATAGGAAAGGAGCATTGCCAGATCTCGCTGCCTGGTCTGAGCATCATGACCCACCCACTGCATCAGAGCATTGAAGATGGTTTCTTCATCAGGCACATTAATGTCATCACTGCACAGAAGTTTTGAAATTTCATTAGCTGGAAGCAGGAGAAATTCTTGGTTCTTTATTACCTCAATGAAGTGTTCCTAAAAAAAAAAGTCATTTCACTTTGTTACATTTCAGAAAGGTCAGTGAGACTGATATCCATTTAAACCTGTAGGTGCTACTGCTGCCCACGGCAAGAGTATGGGAGCCTTTTGAACTGAAGAGCCATAATGCTTGTACTGGGAGATATTTATTAAATACAAAGAAAGCCCTTAAGACTTTAGCCACAGACTCAGTAAATATGAACAGCAAATGAGTAATGCATTTTTTTATATATTATGAATTATGTACTATACTCAGCATAGTATAGCATACTGAAGGTCAGAGTGTGAGAAATGATAAGAGTGCTTTTACTCCCATCTGTTACACATGAGAACAACAGATCGTAACTCTGGAACTGATAGTTCAATGGTTTTTAGTCAAAAGCCCTAGAAGAAAGGCTTAAAGTTATCAGAGTAGAGGATATTTTGAAGGCCTAGCGCTGAACTGTTTTGAGACTAAAAAATTAGTGAAAAGCTCCTCTTGTCAAAAAGAAAGATCTTTTTAAACATGGGATATGTATCCTACTACAATTCATCTCAATCTATAGATTCAAGATAATCTAGGGCTCAGTGTGGTGTTGAACACCTATAATTTCAGCTACTTGGGAGACAGATTAGGAGGATTAGAGTTTGAGGCCAGCCTGCACAAAAAGTTAATGAGACTCCAACTCAACCAATAAGCTGGGTGTGGTGGTGTGTTCTTGTAACTCCAGGAAGAAGGTGTAGGGAGGAGATCATATTTCAAGGTCACCCCCAGATTAAAAAAAAGACAAAACAAAAACTTGAGACCATATCTGAAAACTAATGAATACAAAACAAAAAAAAAAGGCCAGGGGGGTGACTCAAGTGGTAGAGCATGTACTAGCAAGCATGAGCAAGTCTCAATATTGCAAAAAAAAAAAGAAGAAAAGACAATCCAAAAGGATCTCCCTACATAATGTTTCTTTAGGAGGGAGTGGGGTTCCCTTCTACATACATGTTTATGTATTATATCCCAAATCTCCATTCTATAAGAGGGTTACATATTTTGTCAAGTATCAAACAGCTGTGTTTCCGTTTTTTCTCAAAACAGTACATTTTTTCCTTTATAAATACATATTTTTGTTTGAAAAAACATGGTCATTTCTAAAAGTTTTCATACTGAAAAGCTCAAGTTTCAAAAGCACTAAAATATACTTCTAAAATGTACATAAACATGTCTACTTGGCAATTTATGTTGCATGATATTCTGGAATTTGGGTTAAGGCAGTCTGAATATTTGGGAGCCCTGGATAAATCAACTCATTCCATTCACTTCTACTCTTAGTTTAGTTATTATAGAGATTAGCCTAATAGAAAAATTATCCATATAGCAATTATCAGTTATGAATATAGCAATTATCAATTTATTCTGATACCATAAAGTTCCAAGCATGCCTATTTAGAAAAAAGACCTTCTGTGATTAAGGCAAGCCATTGACGTTCTTACTGTAGCATATATCTCTAGCTAAAATCTCTCATTTAAATCAAATAATAGTAATGGTGTGCCTACTACTAATACATTTCACTTGTACAGCACTTAACACATGAATAAATTGTTTCACAAGAATTAACTCATTGCCAATGTAATCTTATAAGGAGGTGGAAGTACTCTGATGAAAAAACATGCAATATACATTATCTGACCTCATATATAATATGTTTCAAGGTCTGGATGCAAACAGAAGCTTGTAATATCATGTCTATTGCATTTTGTTCAATACTTCAACTCACTTCCTAATTGTTAACATTTTATGAAGAGTTTAAAAGAAAAACATAAAACATATGGTTATCTATTACTGGCATTATATTTAAATTCTAGAAATATGTTAATATGATTGAAACATCATATGTCACTCAACCGTTTATGCTACCATGACAGAAAGAAAAAAAAAACATAAAAGAGAGGGAGGAGAGAGATAGAGTGAGAGAGAGAGAGAATATGTCAGAGTGTAAGACCTATTTGATAGATCATACAGTGACCTATTAAGTATGATTATGTATGTGAGAAAGTAAAAAAATGATTATACACGGTTTATAAGATTGTCATATTACACATAGCCAGAAATGAGATTTTCTGACAGAATTTCTTATGACATCAGAGTTGCTGCCTTATGAGACTATTTAAAATTGCTGAACATTATGTATTAGTCTAAGTAAAAAATAAATTAATGTTTCAAATTACCTATATATGACACAGCAATATCCAGTACTATAGAGAAATAGTTATGTTTTAAGACCAATTTCAAATTGTTTGATTTTGGAATTATTTAGCTCCTAATTTTAAGGTAAACACTCTTATGTACCTTCTCAAGAATCTTCATTCATGCATTGAGTTCACTATTCATTTTGGCATCTATGTTTAAATTTTTATAAAATTAGATGAGTAGAACCTATTTGCTGAATTCTTCATTGATGAAAAGAATTATTTAACATGATTAAGATGGTTAATTTTCTGTGTCAACCCGATTAAGTCATGGAGTACCCAGACATTTGGCCAAACATTATTCAGAGTGTGCTGTGATGGCATTTCTGGATGAAACCCACTCACATCAGTAAGGCCAATCTGCTTCACTCAGTCTGTGAATTCACCTGATAATAACTGAACCTCTAAATATTTTTACATTATTCCTAGATACTAAGTATTTGCATTGTTGTCCTGTCTATTCAGTATTGTAAAAGCACTATTATAACACGACCTTTTGAAACCTATTTTACTGTGTTCACAATAGATAGTAACCTAACTACAAAGGGAGACAGCACCATTGCATTTTTATGCACATCCTGCTTTATCACAAAATTTGAGACACATAATAGGAAAAGGAAGACAAGTTCATTTTGAGCAACAAAAATAATTCAAGCTGTTTATCAGAATGTACTTTGTCTGTAAGAGTAAGATACCAGACAGGAAACTGTTAATACCTAGTTCAAGAATTTAAGTCATTTAACAGGAAGTTTTTATATTTGGCTTTTGTGATAGGATTAACCTTTGAACTACATAACTGCTGTTCCTTTAGATTATATGGCATCTGTATTTAGGACGAGTAATATAAATAGCATGATCAAATGACATGTTTTAAAACAGCAACCGATTATAAGGTGATTCTACACATAATGGTATGTTTCAGAAATGTTTGAAACTTCAAATTCTGAGCATTGAACTGGGATGGGAAGAAGGAAGTAAAAAGATTTCTAGAAAATGTTTACAGAAATCAAAGTTTAAAATTTTGAAATTTATAAATCCTATATAAAACCCTAAAAAAAGACTATTCTAATATAAAGCTACTTTTTACTTATCAATTTTGCATACAATTCTCCTTTGTTCACTTGTATGAAATCATCTCTTATTTTTTAATCTTAAATAACTGGAGTAATTTAGGTTTTATTTAAAAATATTTATCTTCTTACTAAGTTTCATATAAGGATCCATCTCTTTTGTCATTCACTGCTTCAGAGGTTAAAAAAGTTCATTTATTTTTTTACTTTATGTATCAGAGAAGTACTAGCATTAGTAAGTCTTTATATCCTCTGTCCAAGTTTCTTTGCTACCATACAGTCTGTATATTATGTGATTACTACCTGACTAAATAAAAATTGTTTAATTTATGTTTTAATTATTATTGTGCTGGGGATACATTGTGACATTTACAAAAGTTCTTACACTATGTCATAGTTGAATTCACCCCCTCCATCATTCTCCTTTATCTGCCTTGTCCCCATTCCTGGAATAGTTTTAACATTGTTTTATCCTATCCAAATTTTAAATGATTACCACATACCGAGACATTTATTTAATTCATTATAATTGCTAATAGATTAGTTAAACCTGAACTGCAAATTGTTTTTAATCAAACCACAATTGCTAAATAAGAAATAAAGTCTGTTCAACAAAACTGAGTTACTAATTTTGGTATTTCTTAAGCTCCTCCAGTTAATACTGATCCATTAACAGCATTTTTCTTATTCAGTGCTATTTAAATTTCATTAGAAATCATTATTTGTACAATTTTAAAAACTAAATTTTTAATTAGGCAAAACTATCACAGAAGTACCATTTTCTTAATACTGTAGATTCCACTTGAAATACAGACTTTACCAGTTTAGTTTTGGGCACTATTTTCATTTCTCCATCTTTGAGATTTAGTTATACCTTTTGAGTTCAAAAAATGAAAAACTTGCTGGATGTGGTGGCTCATGCCTGTAATCCCAGCTTACTTGGGAATCAGAGGTTGCAGGACTTCAGTTTAAGGTTGGCCCAGGCAAAAATTTCATGAGACCCCATCTCAACCAACAATCTGGGTGTGATGGTGCACAACTATCATCCTAGCTATGCTGAAGGGATAAACTTGAGGACTGTGGTCCAAGTCTTCTGGGAAAAACTGGAATACCATATATGAAAAAAAATTAAAATGAAATAGGGCTGGGGATGTGGTTCAAATGCTATTGTGCCTGCCTAGCCAAAGAAAGAAACAAAGAAAACTTGCTTGAGTACAAGTCAAAAAGACATATTTTCATGTAATATGTGTCACCTGAGAATCATATAAGTTTACATTGCCTTTTAATTGTATCGCAATATTTGCATATTATCAGTATGTTAATTTGCAGCAATTGATTTTACCATGGTGTACTTATGTGCCACATCCAGGAGCTCTGTGCATCCCTGGGCATCTCCAAATGATCGAATCCCTAAGCAGTTTGAAGGATGGAGCTGCTTTATGAGGAAATTGGAGCAAACTTCAATGACCTGAGTCAGCTGCAGGAGACAAGCTGCAGACAGCAAACTTTCAATAGTATCTTCTTTCAATTGCAGGACACCTAGATTGAGAAAGTAAAGCATGATTGTACATTCCATAAAGTAAGCCACAAGTAGGGTAGTTGGTAGAATTTTTCTATTTCCCTCTTTGGTACAGATCTGCTTTTTAGTGTATAGCAGCTACTCTAAGTATATGTTTTGAGGCTGATAATATAGAAAGGAGTCTGTGTATACATACTAATAAGAAGGCTGAAGAAAGCCAGACTACATTACCAAAAATGACTGTAGCAAATGAACACTGAATACTACCACTACAAAGAACAGACCTTGTTATTTATCATCTTAAGTCCCCATTTAAACTTTATATTGATTATTTCACATGTATATATACATAAGAATATCACCTTAAACATATACAGTTCTAACTGTCAACTATACCTGGAAAGAATTGTCTACATCACAACTCAGGTAATATTATATTATATTATACTATATTATATTAGCATCATTACAAGTGGCCATAAATTTTACTGTCACTAATGTGAATGTAAAGATCCCAGGAAATAAGAAGAGTAATGAGCTCTTTATGTCCATCTTTGTATATGCATTTATTATCTGGTAAGGATGTGTTGTGGCACTGTCTCAAAAAGAAAAGATTCTTACAAAAGACTACAAATTAAGAGTTGCTTATATAATTATTTGCTTTAGTATAAAAACAGTCTGTATTTAAACAAAATCTGAATATATAGATTGCTTTTGGTAGTATACCTATTTTTACTGTGTTGGTTCTGCCAACACAAGAGCGTGGGAGATCTTTCCAGCTTTTGTAGTTTTCTTCAATTTCTTTCTTCAATGATTTATAGTTTTCCTTGTAGAGGTCATTCACATCTTTTGTTAAGTTTTTTCCTAGGTATTTGATTTTTTTTTGAGACTTTTGTAAATCGAATTGCTTTCCTATATTCTTTCTCAATCTGTTCATTGTTGGTGTATAGAAAGGCTACTGATTTTTGTAAACTGATTTTCCATTCTGTTACATTGCTGAAGGTGTTTATAGTGTCTAGGAGTTTGTTTCTTTATGTATAAGATCAAGTCATCTGCAAATAGGGACAGTTTTACTTCTTTCTTACCAATTTGTATTCCTTTTAATTCTTCTTCCTGTCTTATTACTCTGGCTGGGAATTCCAAGACTATGTTGAGTAGAAGTTGGGAGACTGGGCACCATTCTCTTGTGCCTGATCTTAGGGGAAATGGTTTCAGTTTTTTCCCTTTAAGTATGATGTTGTCTATCAGTTTGTTATATTTAGCCTTTATTGTGTTCAGGTAAATTTCTTCTATTCCTAGTTTTACTAGAGCTTTTATGATGAAAAGATATTGAATTTATTGAAGGCTTTTTCTGCATCTATTATTATCAAGTGGGTTTTGTCTTTGCTTCTGTTAATGTGCTGTATTACATTTAATAATTTGTGTATGTTGAACCATCCCTGCATCCCTGGGATGAAGCTGACTTGGTCATGGTGTATGATCTTTCTGATATGCTGTTGAATTAGATTTTCCATTATTTTTTTGAGGATTTTTGCAACTATATTCATTAAAGAGATTGGCCTGTAATTCTCTGTTTTTGTTGTGTCCTTGTTTGGTTTGGGGATGAGTGTAATACAGGCTTCATAGAATGAGTTTGGCAGTGCTCTTTCTCATGGAAAAGTTTGCGGATTGTTGATATTAGTTCTTCTTTAAAGGTCTGGTGCCAAAAGCAATCTACATATTCAATGCAATCCCCATCAAAATTCCAATGGCATACAGCACAGAGATTGAAAAATCTACCCTCAATTTCATTTGGAAACACAAAAGACAGTGGATAGCCAAGGCAATATTGAGCAAAAAAGAGCAATGCTGGTAGTATCACAATACCAGTCTTCAAAATACACTACAGAGCCATAGCAATAAAAACAGCACTGGCACGAAAACAGTTACGAAGACTTGTGGAATAGAATAGAAGACCCAGAGATGAATCCACGCAGTTAGGCTCAACTAATTTTTGACAAAGGCTCCAAAAACATATGATAGAAAAAATATAGCTTAACAACAAATGTTGCTGGGAAAACTGGATATATGCCTACACAAACCTGAAGCTAGATCCATGTTTGTCACCCTGTACAAGTGTCAATTCAAAGTGGATTAAGGACCTTAATGCCACATCTGAAACCTTAATGACAGTACAGGAAAAAGCAGAGAATACACAGTAAGCAATAGGCATAGGCAAGGACTTGCTTAGTAGAACTCAATTGGCTCAGCAACTAAGAGAAAGGATCAACAAATGGGACAACATGACATTAAAAAGCTTCTGCACAACCAAACAAATGGTTTGTAAACTGAAGAGGCTAACCACAGATTGGGAGAAAATCTTTGCCAGCTATACATCAGACAAGGGACTGATAACCAGAATATAGAGGGAGCTCAAAACTCTAAACTCCCAAAACATCTATGACGCAATGAAGAAGAAATGGGCAAAAGAACTGAACAGAGCCTTTTTAAAGGAAGAAGTCCAACTTAAAAAAAAAATGAAAACATGCTACCAATCTTGGCCATAAAGGAAATGCAAATTAAATCAAAACCATGTTAAGATTCTACCTCCCTCTTGTTAGTATAGCTACCATCAAGAACAGCACATAAGGGAGGTATGGGGATAGGTAGGAAATCCAAAACTTGAAAATGTTTGCTGTCCCCACTGCAGAGGAGCTAATACAGAAATCTTAAAGTGACAGAGGTCAATATGGGAAGGGGTTCAGGAGCTAGTGAAAAGGTCAGGTATCAGTTTGGGTTGTCACACACTTGTGCATGGAAGCAACGCCAGGAATCTCTCTATATAGTTATCTTTATCTCAAACTAGCAAAAACGATATGTCATTCTTATTTCTTATGTTTTCTCTTCAACAAAATTGGAGAACGAGAGGGTGGAACAGGTTCTGCTCAGAAGTGGGGATCGGGGTGGCCCAAACAATGTATACACATGTGAGTAAATGTAAAAATGATAAAATAAAAAAAGAACACACACAACAACAAATGTTGGTGAGGATGCAGGGAAAAAGGAACCCTCATACACTGCTAGTGGGAGTGTAAGGTAGTACAACCACTATGGAAAACAATATGGAGGCTCCTTAAAAAACTAAAAATAGATCTGCCATATGATCCAGCAATACCACTCCTAGGGATATACTTGAAGGAATGTGAGTCAGCTTGCAACAAAAGCCTTGCACACCCATGTTTATTGCGGCACCATTCACAATAGTTAAACTATGGAAACATCCAAGATGCCACACTACTGACAGATGGATCAAGAAAATGTTTTCATATACAACGGGATTTTACTTAGCCACAAAGAATAATGAAATTTTGTCATTTATACGTAAATGAATAGAACTAGAGAACATCACCTTAAGGGAAGTTAGCCAGGTTCAGAAGGCCAAAAATGCACATTCTCTCTCATATGTGGAATAAAGACCTAAAACAAATGCAGCAATATTATGGCATGCTGGCCACATTAATGGGAGGTCACATATGGGAGGAAGGAAACTAAGAACATGAATGTGGTAGATGTGCTGTCTGTACAAGAATGAATATAGAAACCTTAAACTGGCTGGGGCCACCATGGGAAGGACACTAGGGAGCAGTGAAGCGGATTAGAGGAGATGATCCAAATGGGGTTGTAATATACGTATTCATTGAAATATCACAAGGAAGCTCCCTATGTAGGTATCATTATCTCAGGCTAGCAAAATTTTCATACTTTTCTTTTTGTCTTTTATCTTTTTTCTTCTACAAAATCACAGAACGGGAGGGCAGAATAGATTTTGCTGGGTGTCAGGGGGTCTGCACCAGAGGGAGGGGTGAGGTGGTGGGGAAAAGGGGTAGGAAGATGAATAAGGTGTAAAATGTGTGTATGCATGTATGTAAGTGCAAAAATGATACCCGTTGAAACTGTCCTAAGAATCAGAGGAAGTGGAACAAAGGAGAGCAGCTGGAGAGGGTGAATTCAAGTATGATATATGTGATACATTGTAAGAACCTTTGTAAATGCCACAATGTACCCACATCCAACACAACAATAAAAGAAAATAATAGCCAAAAATAAATAAAAATATCCGTTATAAATTTTTAGAAATGTGATCAAAAGCAATTTCAAACATTTACTACATAATAATATATATGTATTCTTTTTAGAACAGGCATTATTGATGATTTATTACAAAATTATAATTATTTCATGAGATATATACTTATTGTTTAATTGTTTTAGTCAAGCAGTAGATAAGTTATAAATATGTTTTAAATGTTTATAAACTATAAGCTATTCTTTAAAGATTTAGTTTTTCTTTCTAAAATACCTTAATTTGGATCCCATCTGGTTACACAAATATAAGAAAAGAATAATACATATTGTGATGTGCTCTATACCTAATTTAATTTGTAAAATGTTGTAAAGAGGTCTAGTCCATCCACACATTTTCTTGTGTATCTTCTTGTCATACATTTTGGATTTTTAAAATTTTATTTAGGTGATTTTACTTTAACCTTTTTTATTACATTATTGTTGTATTGGGGGCACATTGTGACATTTACAAAAGTTCATAAAATATATCATAGTTGAATTCAACACCTCCACCATTCTCCTTTTTCATCCATCCAACCTCCATTTCTGGAATAGTATCAACATGTCTCATTTTTCTATTTTCCTACATGAGTACATAAAGTTTTTATCATATTCACCCTCCTCATTCTTCCTCCTCCAACTAGTACCAACCCTCACAAAGGACTTGTTTTACCCTCTTGTTCTCCATGTTTTAAAAAAAGCATTTTTAACATAGCTATACAGAAAGTTTCACTGTGAAATCTCCATGTATATATGTATTATTAACCAGAATTGATTGAAAGGAAAGCCTTGATAATATTTTGTGAGATCTAGAGAAGTATAAACTATATCCTGTTAATAGTCATTCCCAATATCCCTTATACACATGCAAATACAGATCTGCTTCTTGTCTCTATGACTTTTCCATTTTCAGAAATTTAGTATGAATGGGATCACACACTAAACGGTCTTCTGTAATAAGATTCTTTCATCCAGCATGGTGTTCTCAAAGTTCACCCATGTTGTAGCATCTATATTCCACAGTATGCACACACAAATTTAGTTTGTCAATTCCTCAAGTTTATAAACATTTGGGGTGTTTCTAGCTTTTTATTATTATGAACAAAACTTATGTAAAATTCATGCACACATTTTTGGGTGGACGTGTTTTCACTTGTCTTTGGTATATACTTAAGAGTGGAATTGCTGAATAATAAGCTGAATATGTTTAACTTTTGAGGAGCCTCCATGTATGTATAATGGGTGGTATCAAACTATTATAATGTTGAGGTTTCATTAGATGCATTTTAAAAAGTGCAATAGTTCCTTTTACTCCAATAGCTCAGCAATTAAGAAAAAATATTGATAAATGGACTGCATGAAACTAAAAAGCTTCTGCAAAGCAAAGAAAATCGTCACCAGAATGAAGACAGACAGCCTATAGAACGAGAGAAAATATCTGCCAGCTATACATCTGACAAGTGATTAACAACCAGAATACACAAGGAGTTAAAAAAACTAGCCTCACAAAGAATCAACATCCCACTGAATAAATGGGAAAAGGAACTGAACAGACAATTCTCAAAAGAAGTACAAATGGCCAGTGAACTTATGAACAAATGCTCAACATCTTTGGCTACAAAGGAAACACAAATGAAAACTACATTGAGAGTACACCTGACCCTAGTCAAAATGGGGTATTATCAATAACACAAACAACAACAAATGCTGGACAGAATATGAGGAAAAAGAAACATTTCTACACTGTTGGAGGGAATGTAACTTAGAGCATCCGATATGAAAAGCAATATGAAAGTCCCTCAATAACTAAAAATAGAACTACCATACATTCCAGCAATACCACTCCTGGCATATATCCGAAAGAATGTGCTTCAATATATGATAGAGCCACTTGTACACCTGTGTTTACTGCAGCACTATTTATAATAGCCAAGATTTGGAAACAGCCCAGATGCCCCACTACTGATGAACGGAATAAGAAAATGTGATGTATATACACAATGGAGTTTTATTCAGCCATAAAGAAGAATGAAATTATGTTGTTTGCATGTAAATGGGTGGAACTGGAGAACCTCATATTAAGCAAAGTAAGCGAGGATAAAAAAATCAAAGATGGCATGTTTTCTCTCATATGCAGAAGCTAGAACTGTAAGTTAAATGTATATATAGAAAAATACATAATCCTGTATATAGAGAGATAGAAGATACACACACACACATACGTATATGTGTGTATATATATATATATATATATATACATATATATATACATACATACATATAAAGTGAGACAGAGAACAAAATTGTATTAGTGAGTCCATCTAAGGTAGCTAGGGGAGGTTGGAGAGATAAGAAAATGTTAGAAAATGAATATTGAAACAACTCATCTACATATGAATATAATATAATGCACTTAAAGTAAGCTGTTGAATATTAGGGAAACATGGTGATAGTGAATGAGTAAATAAAGATGGGAGAGGATGTTAATTTGATTACAGTATAATATATACAGATCTGAAATACCAATGTGAAACCATCTTGGACTATCAATATATACATTTTTTAGAAGTATTACTGTTGTGCTGAGTGGGAGTACATTGTAGCATTTATAAAGCTTCTTAGGATGGATCATATATTATACTTGAATTCACTCCCTCGACTGCTCTCTTTCATTCCCCCTAAGAATGAAGGCCAGGAGGGAAAAATAATTCTTTTCCTGGAGTGGGTACCAATGTGGGGGGATGGGCACAAAGAAAGGGGGAATGAGGGTATATGTGGTGGATGTGTTTTGTATACATATATGAAAATAAAAGAATGAAATCCATTGAAATTGTTCTAAGAAGGGAGGGATAGAGGGAGACAGAGAACAATGGAGGGGGTAAATCCAACTAAGATATACTTTAAATACGTTTAAATATCACAATGTATCCCTTATACATCTATTATATGGCAATAAAACCATAAAAATTCAATAGTTCCTTTAAAGGATATTGATATGTACAATGTATTAAAATTTTTGTGCCTTGTAACTACTTAAATTTACAAAAACATTAGTCATCAATGGAAAATATAAAGGAAGCCCACACTTTTTTCAAAATCCTTTTAGGGACAATCCCGGCAAAAATGTTTGAAAACAATCTTCCTGAAGAAAGATAGGAAATAAGCTTTTAGTCTTCAGAAGGACCTACAGATATATAATCAAATACATTTATTTAAATACTAGGAGATCTTAAAAATAACATGATTTTCATCGAGAAAAATCAAAGTACTCTTTTGGTTCCTAAGGTAATCTTGCTGTCTTTGTTTTACAGCTTTAATAAAGAGGATTTTATTATGCCAAAGGAGGACTGACTAAATTTTTACTGTCAAATTAGAAAATATCACTTCCACTTTGTTTTGTACAACGAAGAATGTTCCCACCCTATTCAAGAGAGATGTGTTCTTGCAATTTTGTGTTAAAATAGCTCGCTGCTCTCATGTTCAAAATATTTTACAGTATTTTTTTTCTTGTTTTATGTTACTGAGTACTAAAATGTTACTCTGCCTCCTTACTGCCTTTGGAAAGTTATTTTAACTGGGCTTTAGTTTTCTCACCTGTAGAGTGGAAATAATAATATGTGTAGTGTAAATAGGGTTATTATGAGTTAATGTATGTCAAAGAACTCACCTGTGTAAGCATATTGCACCAAGGAATTGAGTGCATTTGGATCTACTCCTTCCATCCTGACCTCTTCCTGTTTGGCTTCAAGCACATCATTAGTAAACATTGCAGCAAAATAATCAGACACTGCACTGAGAACCAGTCTAGAAATAGAAATGTTTCATAGGCACTTACATCAGTTGATAATCTTATTGAGAAACATGAAATGTGTTCAGCAAGCTTATTAAACTTCTCACTTTGTTCTCTGCATAAAAAGTTCACAATTTAATAAAGCATAGTGAAATTAGGAGAGTCAAATAGTAAACTGATCTTTTAGAGCGTTTGTGCTGTTTTTATTCATTTGTATCTCCAGTTTGGTTTTCTAACAACTGTACAGAGAAACAGATCATACATACAAATGCTATTCCAATGTAAGAAAATAAAAATCTATTCCCCATGCTTCATTTGTAACTGATGTACTGATTTTCTCTTGTTAACATTCTAACGTTCTGCCTGCATAAAATACTTACCGATGAGCAGGGATTCGGAGATGTCCAGCAATGAGCAGCACATCACACAGCTGTTTACCTTTCAAATAGGTCTCCATTTTACGGAGAGTTTGCTCTGCGTGGTTTACAGCATGAAAGTGTCCATCAGATGTGGTGGTATTTGTTTCTTCAGGACATTCTTTACATGATCTGATAGTAAAGCAAGAATGAGAATATGATTTAACATATCATTTTCTAAAATTTTCCAATTTTCTCCTAGTGAGTACAACACATATGAAATTGAGACACATTAATTTCTAAACTAAATATGTTGGAATAAAGTAAAATTAAAATTTCTACTCTAATCTTAAATATTTCACTATGATTGCTGCGTAACCTTCTAATAAGGTGAAGAGGCATGGTTATTATTTATATTCAGAACCAAAACATAACGTGTATACTTTGCACTAGTAATAATTTCAACATGCACAAAATAATTGTCAAGCTACCATACTCTTTCTTTGATGTTTACAGGTATCAGAATTATGTCATTATGCACAGAACCACTAGTCATGATTCAAGATCATTTTTAAAAAATTATGTCTCAATTTTCTTCATCAGCTACCCATAACACATCAGAAAATTTTCTTGAATAATTTCCAGACTGAAAACTTTCTTTGTAACATATCAATCTCATGAAAAAACTATACATACTTCAATTTCTTAAACATTAATATGTAGGAAAATGTGATGCCTATTGAATTTACAATAATGAAAGCTTTCCACATGGTTTTTCAATATGACACATGGTGGAATTTAAATCACTACACAGACTCAAATAGGCTTATACTTGGAAGAAGCTTAAATAGTTGATAAACACACTTAAATATGTTACTTGTTACCTTTCTTACTTCCAGACACCATTTGCTAACCACCAGCTAGGGTTAGTTTTAGGCTTCCCCACCCCAGCTCAGTTAATTGATGTTTTGAAGATAATTTGTCCAGATGGTATTACTCTTTCTGTGTGACTCAAATAAATGATTCCTCTGTAAGGATTCTTAACCTTTAAAGAATATTTGGTAGATTCAGTCACCATATATTTTGATAATTATGATACTATGTGTTAAACTAATTTAAGACTGCCCTAAATCTCTGTCCATGCTTGGGAGAAAATTTGGCTTAAAGTGGCCTCCATACATAGCACAACGCACAATAGTTTGATACTGAAACAAGCTGTAATTTAACCAGATGTACTCTTGTGAACAAGCAGCTGAGTTTCAGACAGTCATAGCAGCTGGTCCTTCAGGCAATCCCAAATTATGCCTAAGTAAGGCAACTGCTGTGGTGCACCAATCAGGTAATCTCCACATTTCATTTCCTGTTTGTAGGTTTATAAATACAGTTCATCACATTGCACGTAGGGACATTGTGAGCCATCTTTGATCCAGAATATTGTCTGGCTCTAGAACTTTTTTCTTACTCAAAATTTAAGTCAGTTCCTTTTTTTCCTAGCATGAATAGACTAACAAATGCCTGATGTTTCCTTTCAAATGCATTGTTTACTTGAACAATCCCTTAGCACCATGATGTCCAAACATTCAGGTTGCACTTATCTCACCTTATTCTAATATTTCCTCTCTTTTACCAATGGGTTAGTTCACATTAATTGTGTCAAACATTCATTGTCTGATTTTCTTAATATATCACCATGTGTACAGTAATGGTGTGGAGCATATTCTAAAGGAGGAATATATTTGGGAAGTTCTGTTCAAGAAATAATTTTATTCTTCTATTTTTTCTTCAGCCTACTTTGGTTAAGGAAAGAATTAATGTGTTCAGATGCAGTGTAATGTGGAATGATTTTATCAGGATAAAGTGAATGTATGAATATTTGAAATGTATTTTATATAAAATTCTATAAAGAAAATCTCAAAAACCTATAGGATCAGGCACAAATATTATAAACTACCCAGTGAAACAATGAAATGGAACAGGCAAACCACCATCACCACCAAAAAGAATAGTTTACTGATATCTAACCTGATCATAGCAATTTTCTAGTGCTCATAAATTACATTTCTCTTGTCCCATTTAAAATACTGCAATGATAAGTGAGATGTTATAATGACAACCACTGACTACAGTATGAGACATGTGAGGCAGCATAATATGGAATCAAAACAGCCTATGATTTGGATTAAAGATGCTTAAGTTAAATCCAGCCCTTGCTATATACTGTTAAAGTAATCTTGGAGAATTAATTTTTATTTCTAATCATTTATTTTCTCCTACAAAATGGGATGGGATATAATATTAATACTAGTAATAATAATGCCTATAACGCATAAAGCTATTCAGAAGATTAAATAAAAAAATATACATGGAAGTTCTATATAGAAATATTTTTTCTGGCAGTACTAGGATTTGAACTCAGGACCTCATGCTCGCTAGGTGGGTAATCTACCACCTGAGCCATTCCACCAGCTACAAATAAGTCTGAAGTTTGTTATAACTACCAAGATACTTATTTCCATAAATATATTTGGAATTTTTTTTCTTGAATTGTTATTTTTAATTACTACACTTTATTTTGGGGAACAGTAATAGAATCACAGGAAATTTACATCTGTACTATTTATTTATATCATTATCAGCTCATGAACTTTCTTTTCTTACCTTACTCATTTTTTTTGCTTAAATTATTATAGCATTGATTATTAGGAGTTCTTACAATTGGCTCCTGTGTCCCTTTGACATATTCAATTATTGTGGAATATTTTTTAACATTTCCTTACTTTCTGGCAACAGAAGGTTGCCCTTAGGATCATATACTATATAATCAGTCATTTCTTTAAGGTGCCTTCATATCTATTTCGTTGGAGAATTATATTAGAAATCAAAATTTGGAGGTTAGGTAATGCTCACTGTAAATGCTTCTAGGGTCTCTCATCAGACAGAGTAAGACGTATGCGTGTGTGTGTGTGTGTGTGTGTGTGTACACAATAAACCAATAAATTATGTTTAATACTAAACAACAAGGATCAGTTTTGTGCATAAGGTATTTATAATCTTTTGTGCTTAGGGAACACTTTGGATGCTATCACCAACACAATTAAAAACTATTTTCTTAGTCTGAATTTAGAATGACATTAGAATTTAACTGCAAATGAAGATACTTCTATAGAATGATTTATGTCACTTTTAACTCATCATGTCAAATATTAGCGCATTCTTTTTCTTCCAAAGTTAAGAGTTAATGTGGTAATTTTCCTTCTCCATTATGTCCCTAACATTTTGCAAGTCCTTTAGCTTTTTTCCTATTCAGTGACTCATACAGTGTAGTATGGTAAAAAGAGTATGAGTTGTAAAATAAAACATTAGGTTTATGCCCTAGCTCTTCTACCACTAGGTCTCTGACTTTAAGCAAGTTAATTAATCCCATTGAACTTTTGATTCTTTATAAAACTAGCAGTGATAGCACTTACTTTGTAGAATTGTTCTAAGTGTTAAATGAGACTATATATAACAGTAAGTAAAAATAAAAAATATTAGTTTACTTTCTTTAATATATTTTTTGCATGAGTTGCTGTTGGCTTTGGTTCCTTTTCATATATTTCCAATTAATATTAATGCATACAACTTTGAAAACTACTAAGTTTCTGTCAGTAAAATGCAGATCTATCAATACCTTTCATTTTGTGAAAATGATACTTCTGAATTTTCTAACAGGATAGATGCAAACATCAGACCTTAATTTAATAATCTGACTTAAATTTACATTTTCCACCTCATCTTTCTTTACATAAGCAGTGTGTGTTTACTACTAATTCTTTGAATATCCTTTGCACTATTCTATATTATGATTATTGCTGATTCAATTTTGGCTCTCTGTTTTTCCCACTCCATATTTGCCTACCAAGCTCATATTTATCACCTCATTCTACTTCAAGTATCTTAAATAAATGATATTCTCCTTCACTTAAATATTTCTACTGATTTTTTTGCATTGCGCTTTTCATATTACCTTCTATAGAAATCACCAATATAGTGCAACACAATATCTAGTCTCAATAAGATGATACTTCAGTAGAGGGAATTAATGAAACACACAGGTGAAATATTAATTTTAAGTATTAAATCAGATTTATCTGTGCATTTACTTAGCACTTGAAAATTATGGGTCAGAAACTATAAATTAATGCAGAAGCACTGGTGCTTCAGAGATGGTCAGAACCCAGTACTTTGGCATTACAAAGCCAGTAATTTGGTTTGTTCTTACATGGAATAAGAGACTTTTTAAAAAATACCCTTAGAATACAGTTAAGAATCTTCAAAATCCAAAGCAATTTAAAATACACGATAAGCTTAGTTTCCTGGTACAGATTATATATCATTTTTATTTGAGAATGGATTTGCAATGTAGATTCTCATTTTTTAAAATTTATAGTGAAATATACACAACTTAAACTTTAGCATTTCAACAATATTTTTGTTTTGGTACTGGAGTTTGAATTCTAGGACTCACAGGTGCTCTACCACTTGGATTACTCCTCCAACCCTTTTTTGTGTCAAATATTTTCAAGATAGGGTCTTACAAAGAATTTGCCTAACCTGGCCTCTAACCTTGATCTTCCTGATGTCTGCCTCCTAAGTAGCAAGGATTAACTGGTATCTGGCTCATTTTAACTATTTTAAGTGTATGATTCAGTGATATTAAGTTCATTCATATTGTTTGGCAACTAATCCAAATATACATCTCAATAAAATTTTTCATCCTTCAAAACCAAAACTCTGAGCTTATTTAAAAATAATTCCCCATTCCCTCCTCCCCAGCCTGTAGCAACCATCATTCGACTTTCTCTATGAATTTGACCACCATGGTATCTCACAGAAGTAGAATCATACATTATTTTCCAATTTGTGACTGGTTTATGTAACTTAGTATAAGGACTTCAAAGATTATGCACAGTAGAATCTGGGTCAAAATTTCATTCTTCTCCACAACTGAGTAATACCTAGGACTTGAACTGCAGAATCTTAGTTCTATCTTTAACACTTTTTTACTTGTTTTTCTGACTTAAGATAACTTGAATTTGTTCTCGTACAGTTCTGAAAGACAAAAGTGTAAAGTAAGTCTCACTGAGCTAAAATGAAATTGTTGCCAGAGCTGCATTTCTTTCAGAAGGATCTAGAGAGGAATCTGCATCCACATCTTTTCCAGCTTCTAGAGGCTCATGGCCTCCTGTACTCAAAGTTAGCAATGTTCTGAGACTCTTTCTCATATCACATCACTTTTACACTGAGTCTTCTTTCACCTCTTTTCCACTTTAAAGAATGGTAAAACCTGTCATAAAACGTTTTAATGATTTTAAGTGTACAGTTTAGTAGAGTTATCTTCGTATTACTATGCAACAAATCTCCAGAACTCTTTTCAATTTGCAAAACAGAAACTATAATCATTCAAAAGGGGATCAGTAACCAGGGTAAAGATCAGTTAGAGATGAATCAACATGGGTCATAACACGTGTACACGACAGCAATGCTAGGAATATTTCTGTATAGATATCCTTAACTCAACTAGCAAAAACACTTTGTCTTCCTTATTATGCTTGTCTTTTCTTCAACAAAACTAATGACAAAGGCAGAACTAGACCTGCCTGCCTGGAATTGAGGGGGGAAAGGGGGAGAGGGTGGGGGAGGGGGGCGGGGGGGAGAAATGACCCAAACAATGTATGCACATGTGAATAACTGAATAAAAAAATAAAAATAATAAAAAAAAAATTCCTACTTTCCCTGGCCCTCAGCAAATAAAATTCTACTTTCTGCATCTTCGAATCTGACTACTCAAAGTACCTCATTCAAGTGAAATAACATAGTATATTTGTTTTTCATGATTGGCTTACTTCAAACAGTATGATGGTCTCAGAGTTCATCCCCACTGTAGTATGTGTCATAACCCCCTTCCTTTGTAAGACTGAATAACATTCCATTGAATGTAGAACATTCTGTTTATCCAGTTATCCATTGTTGGGCATTTGGAATGTTTCCACCTTTGGCTATTGTGCATAATGGTGCTGTGGACATGGCTTTACAAATATCTGTTATAGTCCTTGCTTTCAATTCTTTTGACAATAATCCAGAATTAGAATTGTTGGATCATATAGTAATTCTGCTCTCATATTTGGAGGAATTTCCATATCATTTTCCATAGTGGTTCCACAATTCTTTCTTCCCACTAAGAAAAAAGGATTAAATTTTTTCACATTCTCCTCATCACTTCTTATTTTCTATTTATTTCTTAAATTGGTAATACCCACCCCAATGCATGTGAAATGATGTATTATTTTTCTGATTCAAATTTTCTCAATGATTTGTGACTAGTCTCCTTGTTAGGTTTATTTCTAAGCAGGTTTGATGACACTGAAAATAAAATTCTTTAAAATTTCCTTATGGATTGTTCAT